TCACTCTTAGTTGTCGAAATTTTTGGTTACTAATTGTATCACAAATAATAAAAAAAATGCCTCTTTTGATCGTCTTCAAACCTTAAATACTGGTGCATCTTAATAGAAATTTATTGTAAGTAATTTTGAGTTATGTGGATGACAATTTTCCTTTTCCCACAAATTGTGTAAAACTGAAATAAAAAAAAATCACATTAAATAATTTTTCTCGCAGGATTGTGTAGAATTTGAAGTAGAATATTACTGGGAAAAGATAACTGCATTTATAAAAAATCTTCTATTTTATGTTAATTTTCAATAGAGAACATTTCCTATTTTTCGAAATATTCTCGAGAACAAATTCAATTGCTTTCTCACACATTTTACTTATTACTCGAGAACGCTTCATGGGATCGGCTTTAAATTTTCAAGGCTTGTGTAGTGTGTCTGGGCGAGATTCATGAGTCTGTTTACATGCGTTGTTGTCCGAGGTATACTGCTATATATATGTTTTTAATGGCGTGTGTTGATGCCATTATGGCACTTTTATTCTCGACATGGTATAGTATTATTTCAATGATTTTGGCGAGGAGCTCTTGATGCAAGGAGCTGGAGTTGTCTTCTTTCTTGGCGGGAATTTAAGCTTCCCATTGCAAAAGGCGCTTAGAATCGTAAGGTCATAATAATAATAATAATATATAATAATAATAATAATAATAATAATATAATATATATTATTTATTATAAGTACCCTTTTACAAAGGATTCAGATTTGGAGTTTACGTGTCAGCGGATGGGTGAATCATAGAAATTATAGGGGAAAAGGGGAGTGGTGCACTTAGGGCTGTGGAGACCCAAAAAACTTTGTCCCTTGGAGGCAAAAAGGGGATGTATGAGGTATAGTTTACCACGCTCTTATTGGGTGTGAAGCATGGGTGATGATGTTGCAGCGAGGAGAGGCTGGAGGCGTGGAGATTCATGTCTGAGAGCAATGTGTGGTGGGGAATAAAAACCAGAGAATTCGTAGTTTGGAGTTTAGGAAGAGGTGCGGGATTACCAAAACGTTGTCCAGAGGGCTCAGTGAAGGGTTTTGAGGTGTTCGGAATGTAAAGGGGAAAAATGGGCGGGAACAGAATGATTCCCCGAGTGTTCCGTCTGTAGTGGAAGGAGGCGGGTAGGGGTCGGCTAGGAAGGTTGAGGGAGGGGGTAAAGGGCTTTTTGTTCGAGGGGCTTGGACTTAGCAGGCATGCGTGAGCGGTTTTATAGGAGGGAAAAGGAGACAAAGGTTTTTAAACTTTACATGCTGTTGGAGTGTGAGCAAAAAAACTTTTATGAAGGGGTTCAGGGAAACTGGCAGGCCGGACTTGAGTCCTGGAGATGGGAAGTACAGTGCCTGCACTCTGAAGGAGGGGTGTTAATGTTGCAGTTTAAAAACTGTATTGTAAAGCACCCTTCTGGCAAGACAGTGATGGAGTGAATGATGGTGAAAGTTTTTTTCTTTTTCGGGCCACCCTGCCTTGGTGGGAATCGGCCAGTGTGATAATAAAAAAAAAACATGTACAAGGTATACAGTCCTAGCTGACATCAATGACATACTACTATATAGAAAGCCGCTTGTTATACTGAGCATTTCGGGCTAATTAGTTCAGTTTTGTCCCAGGATGCGACCCACACCAGTCGACTAACACCCAGGTACCCATTTGATACTGATGAGTGAACAGGGACAGGGATAGCAGGTGTCTTATGGAAACACGTCCCTAATGTTTTCCAGCCGTACCGGAGGAGATTCGATCTCCAGACCTCAGAGTGTGAGCTGAGTGCCCTAGCGATCGAGCGACGGGACACCTTATATAGCACCTGTGATTAAAATATACCTATTATGAACGGCTTCAGTCTTCAACAGCTGATGCATCGTTTGAAATATAACATTATTATTAAAGATTCGCCGGTATTCTCCCGGCCCGGGCCTTGTCCAAGTGGTGGCCCGGCCTTGGCTCCCTCTTTAGGGAGTGTCTGAGACCTAAGTCTCCCATGGGAGGAGGCACAAGTACCTCCTCATCTTTGGGACCAACTGTCCCCAGGCCTAGCCACAAGCTAGGCCTCTCTGGTCTGCCATCCCCGCCCCAAGGGGCTAATGGGAATGAGAGGCTTGTGAGCTACAAACCCGGACTCAGGCACCTACCCTGCCCGAGAAATAGATGGAACACTTCAAGGGTTCTGCCTGTGTGGGCACAAACTGTGTTGGAGTCTGTGCGATAACTGGAAAATGCATCTTCAGATCAGCTTTAAACTTTTAATGGTGATGTGTTTTCCTCGGGTTACAATATCTTCTTGTGAGGTTATATAAGTTATGAGCCAATTTTATTACTCAAATTTGTTGCTGTGAAATATTTGGGAATGTTTCTTTTGATCAGGAATAAGTCACAGTGATTGACTTTATTTAGTTTTTCAAGCTTAAGTAAACTTACAGCTTTTTATGTGCCTTTAACATCTGTGTGAATGTTATATTCACTAAGCTTACGTGAAGCTTACTTACTTACTTTCATAAAAGCAGGTCATTGTTACTAAGAGAAAAGTTTGGAATGATTTTTCCTTGAGTAAGTTTTAATTTGCTTTTCTTTTTGGGGGAAAGGGAGATAATGAAGAAATGGAAATACTGATTTCCATGATTTACATTTTGAGTATCGCATCTGATTAGCTTCAACACTTCCGAAGGTATCCCTTGATAATGCAACATCTGAGCGGCTTCAAGTTTAATGTGTTTGTGTATTTTAGGATACTGGATTCTTTGATCCTCCTGAAAAATATGAATTAAATTTGGTTTCCATGTGTTCTAATTTCCATTATTTATTTAAAAAAAATCTGTGTTGGTTTCCAGTTGATGATTTGTGAAAGCCTCTTCTGAATCCTTTCAGTGCTGATACTTAACTACATAATCAACTTATGCATCACTCTGCACTATTCCAATCGCGTGCAGTGAGGCACAGGAGACTGGGGTTGTGAAATACGGGGATATATTTCTTGGATCGCACAGCTGCCGAAATACATCTAGATTTTATTACATTCACAAAATGTGCCTAGCCCGTACGGGTCATAGTGCGTTACTCGACTGAGTGTGATCTAAGTCATATTTTGTTTAGGTAGTAATAAGAGTGTGTAGTGAAAGTATAACTTTCTGGAATGGAAGAAGACAAGTTCCATGGCGCTGAAAAACAGACCGAAAATTAATTCAGCTGCTCTCTGATAAATTATTCAATTAACTGAAACGCCCTTGACTTTCAACGAAACTTGACAAATTGCAGAGAGAGAGAGAGAGAGAGAGAGAGAGAGAGAGAGATTGAAAGAGCGAGAGAAAGTGTTGTTGGTAACAGCTCTTAACTTGGAAATAAAGGTAGGAACACTTAACCTAATACATTTAAAACCATTGTGAAATAAGAGAGATAGACACAGAGATAGAGAATGGGAGGGGGGTATCCCATCTTCATAATTATTATTTGAGTGTTATCATCTTGGCAAGAAGACAACTCACAACAATGGACTTACTCAACTGAGCTACCTACCTGTATTTAATGCTAGGTTGCCAGAGGCAGTATCAACAGTGTTGCCTCTTCCGATCAATTTAATACTAGGTTACCAGAGGCAGCAGGTACAGTGTTATCTCTACCGATCAATTTAACGCTAGGTTACCAGAGGCAGCAGGTACAGTGTTATCTCTACCGATCAATTTAACGCTAGGTTACCAGAGGCAGCAGGTACAGTGTTTTCTCTACCGATCAATTTTATGCTAGGTTACCAGAGGCAGCAGGTACAGTGTTTTCTCTACCGATCAATTTAATGCTATGTTACCAAAGGCAGCAGGTACAGTGTTGTCTCTACCGATCAATTTAATGCTAGGTTACCAGAGGCAGCAGGTACAGTGTTATCTCTACCGATCAATTTAATGCTAGGTTACCAGAGGCAGCAGGTACAGTGTTTTCTCTACCGATCAATTTAATGCTATGTTACCAGAGGCAGCAGGTACAGTGTTATCTCTACCGATCAATTTAACGCTAGGTTACCAGAGGCAGCAGGTACAGTGTTATCTCTACCGATCAATTTAACGCTAGGTTACCAGAGGCAGCAGGTACAGTGTTATCTCTACCGATCAATTTAACGCTAGGTTACCAGAGGCAGCAGGTACAGTGTTATCTCTACCGATCAATTTAACGCTAGGTTTACCAGAGGCAGCAGGTACAGTGTTATCTCTACCGATCAATTTAACGCTAGGTTACCAAAGGCAGCAGGTACAGTGTTTTCTCTACCGATCAATTTAATGCTAGGTTACCAGAGGCAGCAGGTACAGTGTTTTCTCTACCGATCAATTTAATGCTATGTTACCAGAGGCAGCAGGTACAGTGTTTTCTCTACCGATCAATTTAATGCTAGGTTACCAGAGGCAGCAGGTACAGTGTTTTCTCTACCGATCAATTTAATGCTATGTTACCAGAGGCAGCAGGTACAGTGTTATCTCTACCGATCAATTTAATGCTATGTTACCAGAGGCAGCAGGTACAGTGTTGTCTCTACCGATCAATTTAATGCTAGGTTACCAGAGGCAGCAGGTACAGTGTTATCTCTACCGATCAATTTAATGCTATGTTACCAGAGGCAGCAGGTACAGTGTTATCTCTACCGATCAATTTAATGCTATGTTACCAGAGGCAGCAGGTACAGTGTTGTCTCTACCGATCAATTTAATCCTAGGTTACCAGAGGCAGCAGGTACAGTGTTGTCTCTACCGATCAATTTAATGCTATGTTACCAGAGGCAGCAGGTACAGTGTTATCTCTACCGATCAATTTAATGCTATGTTACCAGAGGCAGAAGGTACAGTGTTATCTCTACCGATCAATTTACCTAATTGATCGACCTGTTTAACTTTCAGTTGGACATAATCATGGTAATATTTGCAAATTTAATTAATTAATCAACACATTATAATTCTTCTACTTTAAATGATGAACTTTTCTTTTTCTTTTCAGGTAATCGTCTTCTTGTTCCTGATTATCAAGTAAGGATGGCACTTTATTTATAGTAAATGTACCTTAGGGTAGGTATGCTATCCCTGGTATATCTGAGTGCTGGGTTATGCTACCCTTGTTGGTATATCTGAGTGCTGGGTTATGTTACCCTTGTTGGTATATCTGAGTGTTGGGTTATGCTACCCTTGTTGGTATATCTGAGTGCTAGGTTATGCTACCCTTGTTGGTATATCTGAGTGCTGGGTTATGCTACCCTAGTTGATATATCCGAGTGTTGGGTTATGCTACCCTTGGTATATCTGAGTGCTGGGTTATGCTACCCTTGTTGGTACATCTGAGTGCTGGGTTATGCTACCCTTGTTGATATATCTGAGTGTTGGGTTATGCTACCCTTGGTATATCTGAGTGCTGGGTTATGCTACCCTTGTTGATATATCTGAGTGTTGGGTTATGCTATCCTTGGTATATCTGAGTGCTGGGTTATGCTACCCTTGTTGGTATATCTGAGTGCTGGGTTATGCTACCCTTGTTGGTATATCTGAGTGCTGGGTTATGCTACCCTTGTTGATATATCTGAGTGTTGGGTTATGCTACCCTTGTTGGTATATCTGAGTGTTGGGTTATGCTACCCTAGTTGATATATCCGAGTGTTGGGTTATGCTACCCTTGGTATATCTGAGTGCTGGGTTATGCTACCCTTGTTGGTACATCTGAGTGCTGGGTTATGCTACCCTTGTTGATATATCTGAGTGTTGGGTTATGCTACCCTTGGTATATCTGAGTGCTGGGTTATGCTACCCTTGTTGGTATATCTGAGTGCTGGGTTATGCTACCCTTGTTGGTATATCTGAGTGCTGGGTTATGCTACCCTTGTTGATATATCTGAGTGTTGGGTTATGCTACCCTTGTTGGTATATCTGAGTGTTGGGTTATGCTACCCTAGTTGATATATCCGAGTGTTGGGTTATGCTACCCTTGGTATATCTGAGTGCTGGGTTATGCTACCCTTGTTGGTACATCTGAGTGCTGGGTTATGCTACCCTTGTTGATATATCTGAGTGTTGGGTTATGCTACCCTTGGTATATCTGAGTGCTGGGTTATGCTACCCTTGTTGATATATCTGAGTGTTGGGTTATGCTACCCTTGGTATATCTGAGTGCTGGGTTATGCTACCCTTGTTGGTATATCTGAGTGCTGGGTTATGCTACCCTTGTTGGTATATCTGAGTGCTTGGTTATGCTACCCTTGTTGGTATATCTGAGTGTTGGGTTATGCTACCCTTGTTGGTATATCTGAGTGTTGGGTTATGCTACCCTAGTTGATATATCCGAGTGTTGGGTTATGCTACCTTTGGTATATCTGAGTGCTGGGTTATGCTTCCCTTGTTGGTATATCTGAGTGCTGGGTTATGCTACCCTTGTTGATATATCTGAGTGTTGGGTTATGTTACCCTTGTTGGTATATCTGAGTGCTGGGTTATGCTACCCTTGTTGGTATATCTGAGTGCTGGGTTATGCTACCCTTGTTGATATATATGAGTGCTGGGTTATGCTACCCTTGTTGGTATATCTGAGTGTTGGGTTATGCTACCCTTGGTATATCTGAGTGCTGGGTTATGCTACCCTTGTTGGTATATCTGAGTGTTGGGTTATGCTACCCTTGTTTGTATATCTGAGTGCTGGGTTATGCTACCCTTGTTTGTATATCTGAGTGTTGGGTTATGCTACCCTTGTTTGTATATCTGAGTGTTGGGTTATGTTACCCTTGTTGGTATATATGAGTAGTGGGTTATGCTACCTTTTGTTGGTATATCTGAGTGTTGGATTATGCTACCCTTTTTGGTATATCTGAGTGTTGGGTTATGCTACCCTTGTTGGTATATCTGAGTGTTGAGCTATGCTACCCTTGTTGGTATATCTGAGTGCTGGATTATGCTACCCTTCTTGGTATATCTAAGTGCTGGGTTATGCTACCCTTGTTGGTATACCTGAGTGTTGGGTTATGCTACCCTTGTTGGTATATCTGAGTGTTGGGTTATGCTACCCTTTTTGGTATATCTGAGTGTTGGATTATGCTACCCTTTTTGGTATATCTGAGTGTTGGGTTATGCTACCCTTGTTGGTATATCTGAGTGTTGAGTTATGCTACCCTTGTTGGTATATCTGAGTGCTGGGTTATCTTACCCTTGTTGGGATATCTGAGTGTTGGGTTATGCTACCCTTGTTGGTATATCTGAGTGTTGGGTTATCTTACCCTTGTTGGTATATCTGAGTGTTGGGTTATGCTACCCTTGTTGGCATATCTGAGTGTTGGGTTATGCTACCCTTGTTGGTATATCTGAGTGTTGGGTTATGCTACCCTTGTTGGTATATCTGAGTTTTGGGTTATGCTACCCTTGTTGGTATATATGAGTGTTGGGTTATGCTACCCTTGATGGTATATCTGAGTGTTGGGTTATGCTGCCTTTGTTGGTATATCTGAGTTTTGGGTTATGCTACCCTTGCTGGTATATCTGAGTGTTGAGTTATGCTACCCTTGTTGGTATATCTAAGTGTTGGGTTATACTACCCTTGCTGGTATATCTGAGTGTTGGGTTATGCTACCCTTGTTGGTATATCTGAGTGTTGGGTTATGCTACCCTTGTTGGTATATCTGAGTGTTGGGTTATGCTACCCTTGTTTGTATATCTGAGTGTTGGGTTATGTTACCCTTGTTGGTATATCTGAGTGTTGGGTTATGCTACCCTTGTTGATATATATGAGTGTTGGGTTATGCTACCCTTGTTGGTATATCTGAGTGTTGAGCTATGCTACCCTTGTTGGTATATCTGAGTGTTGGGTTATGCTACCCTTGTTGGTATATCTGAGTTTTGGGTTATGCTACCCTTGTTGGTATATCTGAGTGTTGGGTTATGCTACCCTTGTTGGTATATCTGAGTGTTGGGTTATGCTACCCTTGTTGGTATATCTGAGTGTTTGGTTATGCTACCATTGTTTGTATATCTGAGTGTTGGGTTATGTTACCCTTGTTGGTATATCTGAGTGTTGGGTTATACTACCCTTGTTGGTATATATGAGTGTTGGGTTATGCTACCCTTGTTGGTATATCTGAGTGTTGAGCTATGCTACCCTTGTTGGTATATCTGAGTGTTGGGTTATGCTACCCTTGTTGGTATATCTGAGTGTTGGGTTATGCTACCCTTGTTGGTATATCTGAGTGCTTGGTTATGCTACTCTTGTTGGTATATCTGAGTGCTGGGTTATGCTACCCTTGTTGGCTTTTCAATGTATGATACGTGGAGTGAGATGCAGTCTCGAGGTACACAAACCCAGGAACCATTAACAAACCACAGGTATAGATAGGCTCATAATTATTCAGTAATAAAATAAACAACTATATCCCACTAATAAAACACTCAAGCCCTTGAAAAGAATGATATAAGAGTAAAAATCAGTCAATATTTTCAGAAACTCTCTGCATAAAATCTTCCACAGGTAAGGCTTTTTATGGCACGAATTAAAGCTGTGTTTTTCGCATTTTATTTCCACGCAAAGCGCTATTGTGCTATTTGTGTGTAACTCAAATCCCAGACCTAAATAATGTATTTAACAACCTCCTCCCCAGGATGCGACTCAAGATAGATGTATTATTATTAAATTAAGCGCTAGTCCCGTTAAGGATCACATCACCCGGCAAGACGTGTGTGAAAATAGAAATGTGCTAAGGTCAAGAATGAGCAATAGGTAGGTTAGGTTAGGTAAAGTTTGTTAGGAAACAGGACACGTGTTTCCTGACGCGGGTCTTAGTTATATGAAGACCAGCAGCTGTAAGTTTTGGTCATCTGATATAAGCCTTCCACTGGCTTACCGGTCCATCCATCAGCAATTATGGTTATGATTATGACTATTAGATTGAAAATACTCGTCTAAACGTTTCGCCAGCTTAGAGATAATTCTAAATGTTTTACCTGCCTGGAAATAATTATTAGTTTTAATTAACACATCGGCCGATTGCCACCCAGGCAGGGTGGCCTAAAAAAGAAAAATTTTCACCATTCACTTCATCACTGTCTTGCCAGAGTGGTGCTTATACTACAGTTATAAAACTGCAACATTAACACCCCTCCTTCAGAGTGCAGGCACTGTACTTCCCATCTCCAGGACTCAAGTCCGGCCTGCCGGTTTCCCTCAATCACTTCATAAATGTTACTTTGCTCACACTCCAACAGCACGTCAAGTATTAAAAACCATTTGTCTTCACTCACTCCTATCAAATACGCTCACGAATGCTTCCTGGAAGTCCAAGCCCCTCGCACACAAAACCTCCTTTAACCCCTCCCTCCAACCTTTCCTAGGCCGACCCCTAGCCCGCCTTCCCTCCACTACAGATTTATATACTCTCGAAGTCATTCTGTTTCGTTCCATTCTCTCTACATGTCCGAACCACCTCAACAACCCCTCCTGAGCCCTCTGCATAATAGTTTTGGTAATCCCGCACCTCCTCCTAATTTCCAAACTACGAATTCTCTGCATTATATTCACCTTACATTGCCCTCAGACATGACATCTCCACTGCCTCCAGCCTTCTCCTCGTTGCAACATTCATCACCCATGCTTCACACCCATATAAGAGTGTTGGTATAACTATACTCTCATATATTCCCCTCTTTGCTTCCAAAGACAAAGTTCTTTGTCTCCACAGACTTCTAAGTGCAACACTCACCCTTTTCCCCCTCATCGATTCTATGATTCACCTCATCCTTCATAGACCCATCTGCTGACACGTCCACTCCTAAATATCTAAACACATTCACCTCCTCCATACTCTCTCCCTCCAATCTGATATCCGGTCTTTCGTCACCTAATCTTTTTGTTATCCTCATCACCTTTGTCTTTCCTATATTCACTTTTAATTTTCTTCTCTTACATACCCGACCAAATTCATGCACCAACCTCTGCAACTTCTGTTCAGGCTCTCCCAAAAGCACAGTGTCATCAGCAAAGAGCAACTGTGACAACTCCCACTTTG